GGGGGATGGTCACGCCGCAATCCCTTCTCCTCCATTCTCCTCTCAGGATCTTGGGCATGCACGCACACGTGCCCGGTGTGAGTTTTAAGCCACTGGGTCCAGGATGCGAACCGCGGTCGACTACGTGGGAGTTCAGCGACATAGCCATTACGCTAACTGCTGGTTCCCATTATTTTTCAATTTTGACCAGAGAGAGAGAGAGACAGAGAGAGCAATCCTGTGAGGTCAGAGACTTAAACCATGGATGGTCGTTGGGAGTCCAGGGCCTGTAACTACCACACCACCTACCTACCGGCCCTCTTATATCATATTTTATAAAATATATTTAATGTATTTTATACATATGTGTATATGTTTATACACATACACAAAATAATTAATTTTGAATGTAAACTATATATCTGAATCTATCTTCATATATGTGCTTAGAAAAAATCACCTATCTGATATCTCTGTTGATATTTCTTGAACTATAAATTAAAAAAAAAATAATATGGGGCCAACCAGTGGTTAAGGCAGCTGGATCTCACATGGCCTACTGTGCAGATTGCATCCCAGACCTAGTGACTTGAAAAATATGCCAGACACATGTACTTGCATCCGCAAAGTACCAAGAGCAGAATGAAGGAGAAGGGATTGTGGCATGGTTATCCCTCAGGGGGCTGCTTTCTCATTTTTCTTGAGAACAAAAATGGGAGGTATGCTACTGGCATTCAATGGGAAGAAGTCAAAGATGCTGCTAACACCTCCAATGCACAGGTGTATGCGAATGGCCCAAATCTCAACAGGATGGAGAAATGGAGAAGGGACTGCCATGTGACCACATCCTTCAGGATGTGCTTTCTCCCTCTCCCTGTCTCTCTGCCTCTCTGTCTCTCTCTGGTAAATGCATGTGCCTTCTGGCAATTAAAAAAAAAAGTCCTATCCCTGGAGCTATCAGATCTGGGTTCAAATCCTGGCTGATCCCTGTGTTTGGCATCTGCCAATATCTGTCTACCCAGGCTTCTGACCTTTCTTCCTAAGTGAGGCAGAATGTGTTGCTTTCCTAGTCTTCATTTTGTTTTCCATTACTGACAGCACTACCATTTTGCACAGGGTGATGAATGTGACCATCCTAAAATAATCACATTCAGTCTCCCTTGAAGCTTTACATAGCCGCTGACATAATCCTTGCCAAGTGGTCATTCTTAAGAAGGACTTCAGAGAAAGTTCTTTAAAGAGGGGTTGATTTGACTGACAAACATTTTTGTTCTCTGGCTTATCCTTTCTTCTCAGAATGCCCTGTGGTAAGGATGGTAAAGAGGAAAGGTAGACACATCTTGGGTCCCTAATGGAGCTGTGAAAAGAGTATCCAGCTCAGGACTGCATGCCTCTAGGCTTTATGCTTTGTGAGGAGGAAAAAAAAAAAAAACAAAAAAAACCCAAAAATCCTAAAAACCAAGAACAAAAAACAATGCTTATTTGGTTAAGCCTTTTTTTTTCAATCTCTGTTAACCCTATGATTCGCTATTTGTTCCATTCTTGTGAAACTTATTTCCATATTGATTCTAATGTCCTAATACATTGAAAGAGGGAAATACCAGCGGGTAGGAGTACAGGTGCTAGACGCCAATAAACCCGGTATGTTGTTTAGGGCAAGTGGTGTGGAGTGCTGTGACAGACAACTCTAATCTGTGTGGCTTTACACAATAGAAGCTTATGTCTGGCTCAGCCCGTTCCAGTGTACATTATCATTTGTGGACCTGGGCTTTTTACCTTCTTGTGCTTCTTTGCTGCTTAATCTGGCTCGAGTAGTTTGCTGATATATGCAATTAAGAATTTAGAGAGGACTAGCTACAGTGCTGCAGTGGTGGTGTGATGCTCTGCAATGCTGGAAGCCATGTGGAAGATTAGAGTTCGGATCCTAGGTCACCTTGAACATGTCCAGCATATATGTGCCTGTAATCCTGGGTAACTAGGACAGGCTGGGGGAGGGTTATGATATGAGACCCTGTTGAGGATGTCTCTCTCTCTCTCTGTGTCTTTTTGTCTCTTCTCTGTCATTAAATAAATAAACATAAAGAAAAAGAACTTGGACAGATTGAGCTATAAGAAATTGAGGCCATTTGAATACAATAACTGCCTACAAAGTGACAGTTTCATATGATTCAACCTAGTTTTACATGTGTGATTTTGAGCAAAGGACCCTCTACGTCCATCTTCTCAGGTATGAAATTCTGTATTAATATCTTCCTTTAAGGAGAGGATAAAGATCAAATGAGACGATGTATGCCAAGGCCTTAGTAAGTACACAGTAAGTGACTCAGAAGGGTTAGCTACATTTTACCCAGTGCTCAGCACGGAATCCTTAGCACATACTGGTCTTTCTTTTTTTTAAAATTGAGATCTAATTCATGCATCATGAAATTCACCCTTCTAAAGTGCAATTCAGGGCTGACCTAGTGGCCCAGTATGAGGGAACCAGATCCCACATGGCACACTGGTTGAAAAACACACCAGGTGCATGTGCAGGTCCCAAATCCTAACAGGTCGAAAACTGGAGAAGGGATTGCGGTGTGACCACGCCCTACTGGAGGATGGTTTCTCCCTCTCTTGCAACCTCACGCATCCACTTGAAATTAAAAATAAATAAAGTGTGCAGTCAGTGGTTTCAGAATATCCATAAAGTTGTACAGTCGTAATCACTCGTCACATACTCCTGAACATTTTGTCACCACACGAAAAACCATATGCTCATTAATATCACTTTTTCTTTTTTTTGGAAAGGTTTTTACCATTGGGCACATGCACTTGCCAGACAGACAGAGACAGACAGAGATATAGAAAGCCAGAAATCAACCCCCCTGGGGGGATGGCCACGCCACAATCCCTTCTCCTCTAGGGATCTTGGGCATGCACGCACACACGCCCAGTGTGAGTTTTAAGCCACTGGGTCCGGGATGTGAACTGTGGTCGACTACATGGGGGTCCAGCAACATAGCCATTATGCTAACTGCTGGTCCCAATATCACTTTTTCTTTTGAATGCATCATCTTTGTATCAGAATGACTAGCACAGAACCAGCATGTGGCTGGCTTGATAGGTCCCACATGGACAACTGTACCATTCAAGTCTCAGTTTTGAAGGGGTGAAAAGTATGCCTGGTGCAGGTGCATGTGTGCCCCAAATCCCAACAGGAGCTAAAAATAAAAAGCAAAGCCATCTCCCTTGGGGGAGGGGGGTGCTTGTTCACTTTCCTTCTCTCTCTCTCTCTTTGGTGAGCACATGTGCCCTATAACAAATTAAAAAAACAAAAAACAAAAAACAAAAAAACACTAGCATCTTCAGTACCTTGCTCATAGTACTGTCTCACTATTAATTAATTTTATTGACATCTAGGGTTAAAAAAGGGTTAAAAAAGCATTCTTTGGGGCCAGCAGGTGGCATGGTGATTAAGGGCGCTGGACTCCCACATGGCCCATGGTTCGCATCCTGGACCTGGTGACTTACTTTCTCACTTTCTTTCTCTCTCTCTCACTCTGTCCCTATATGGTCAAATTAAAAAATAAGTAAATAAGTAAATAAAGTTAAATAAAAAATAATTCTGTTAAAAAAATCATTCTTTGTTTATTCAACAACAATTGGTAACCTTATTTAATATGAGTGTGTGTATGTATATATATTACATCTCATAGAATCCCATATTTATGCTCAGGGATCTAGATTCTCCCATACCATAATAATAAAAAGACAAAAATAATGATAACAATAATATTGTTGGCACCAATCCTGGTTACGGATTTAAAATGACACAGGAAATTATTGTGACGCTGTAGGACTATAGGGATTCCCTACCTCTGAGAGGGAATTTGTGCAGATTGGAGAGAATTTTCTTTTTGCTTCTTCTCCTTATTGACAGACACCGGAGCTCATGTAGCTGAAAGAGGAGAAATATATAGAACCAATGTTTAGGAGGGTGCCTCGAAAGCTCCTCGGTTGTATTAATCATTTGATTTCAGAACTTTTTATAAATAGTGCTTGTTTGGACACACAACAAGAAGGGTGAGTAAAAGTGAAACAGCTTACTTCTTCTTAGCTAAGAATGCCTGCTTTCTGTGCCTGTCAGATTGGAAAGGGTGCGTCACTGGAGGACTTTGCTTGATTCTGTTCGGAGTCACAGCTGTAGAAGCAGATGCATTTTGGCCTGTTTTACATTCTTGAAGAAAGGGCATCCTGGCAAACCTCCCAATTTAGTACTTGTTACTCTGCACGGTTGATGGTTTCGGAAGGTTAATCACCGTACTATACTTAATTTGGGGACGGTTCGTTGCTCTGGTCTTCGAAACACTCCAGTTCTTCTTTGCACCTGCTGTGGCTACCAGAGCACTGGTCTGTCTCAGATACTTGCTTAAAAGTGTGAGCTGCTATCGATTCAGAAGAAGGAAGTGTCGTGAACGGCAATGAAATGGCTGCTCTTTTAACTCCGCGTGCTTCAGAATGATCAGATACAAGAAAGAAACGAATGTGGATGTGACAAATCCAGTGGCAAAACATTTTAAAAATAAGCAACCAAATAAAACGTACTGATAAAACAATGGAACGAACGTAGATATAAAAACAGTCCATAGTGGGTCCAGTCAATTGGTTACACGGTTGTGTGGAATCCCATGGACTGTCCAGCCTGACCTCTGATGAGAATAGGAAATTAAACCCAAAGAGATGAAATGACTTGCCCTGGATCAATTATGGTCAATATCACTGTTCCCTGTTTATCAGGTTTTTTAGGAGACTGAATAACATGGTTTGGACATACAAAACTCTGCTTGAATTCAGTCATTTTGCTACAAGGAGGCTTTTTAAAAGTTAATGGGAAATGACAATTATAAAAAAAAAACACAACAAACTACGTATGAATTTCATTTTTTGGCACCAAATATGCTCATGCTTTTGTTTTTGTTTGTTTGTTTGCTATAGGGCATGTTTGCTTGCCAGAGAGAGAGAGAGAGAGAAAGAGAGAGAGAGAGAGAGAGAGGAGAGAGAGAAAGCACCCCCCACCCCCAGATGGGATGGCTACACTGCAATCCCTTCTTTTTCATTTCCCTGTTGGGATTTTGGGCATTATGTGCACACATGTCTGGTGTTTTGTTTTTTGCTTTTGTTTTTTTTGAGAGGCTTCTATTATAGGGCGTGTGCGTTCAGACAGAGAGAGACAGAGAGACAGAAAGCAAGAAATCACCTCCCCAGGGGGGATGGCCACGCTGCAATCCCCCCTCTTCCCCTCTCCTCTCGGGATCCTGGGCACGCACGCACACGCGCCCGGCGTGAGTTTCAAGCCACCGGGTCCAGGATGCGAACCGCGGTCAACCACGTGGGAGTCCAGCGACATAGCCATTACGCTAACTGCTGGTCCCATGTCTGGTGTGTTTTTCAAGCTTCTAGGCCTGGGACTCAAATAGTGCAGTTGGCCATGTGGGATCCAGCCACTTTAATGTCCATGCTATCTGTTGACCCCAGTAAACTCCCATTTTAATTCCACTCTTTTCCATGAATGTTTTGAAGACCCCTCATACTTCTACTTGGCTCATGAAGTCTAGTGCACCCTTGAACAAGCTCAGGAATCAGGTACAAACAAAAGCCCTCCTTGAAAGCATGGTGTATGGGTTATGCTTGGTATTGGGAAAGCAACAGGTAGGAGCAAACTCCAGTATTGCTGTTCAGCTTTGTGATGCGGATGGTTTAGTGTCCTGGGACTGTTGCAGCAAATCACCAAACTGGGTGATTTAAACAGAAATTCACTTTCTCACAGTCTGGAGGCTAGAAGTACAAAATCACGTGGTCATCCGGCCCATGCACCTTCTTTTTTTTTTTTTTTTAAGAGATATATTCTTTTCTATAGAGCCTGTGCACTCGCCAGAGAAAGAGAGACACACAGAAAGTGAGAAATCATCCCCTGAGGGATGGCCATACTGCAATCCCTTCTCTTCCATTCTCCTCTCAGGATTTTCAGTATGCCCTCACAAGTGCCTGGTATGAGTTTAAGTCACCGGGTCCAGGACATGAACCAAAGTCAGCTACATGGGAGTCCAGTGACATAGCCTTTATGTGCTGGTCCCCAAGCCCATGCACCTTCTGAAGGCTTTAGGGAAGAACCCTTCCTTGCCTCTTTTTAGCTTCTGGAGGCCGCCAGCAATCCTTGGTGTTCCTTGGCTTGTACATAAATCATTCCAATCTCTGCCTGTATCTGTAATAGCTTTCTTCTCTTCTCTTTTCCTTTCTCTTAAAAAGACACTTGTCATGGGATTTGGAACCACCCTAATTTTATATGACCTCATCATAATGTGGTTACATCTGAAAAAAACATTTCCAAATGTTGTCATATTCACAATGTCTTAGTCAGTTGTTTGCACTCCTAACTGAAATACCTGAGCTTGGGTAATTTTTATAAAGAAGATAGAAATTTATTCAGAAACTCACGATTGTGGTGGCTAGAAAGTCCAAAGTCTCAGGCTTGCAGTGCCGCTAGGCAGAGGATGGTGGTCACATGCAAAGAGGTCTGACTGATTTCTCTTTCATAACAACCAGTCTTTGAGAAAACTAACTCCTTCTCTCTAGAGTAGACCTTGCTAGGTCTTGTGAGATGAGACTGTTACCTCCATGATGTAATCACTATGAGCCAATCACTGCCCACCAGGCCTTATTCTGGGTCATCATGAAGAAATTAAGTTTTTACTTAATACCTTTATAATATAGGCAATACAATCAAGAATCAACACATGAATTTTCAGGGATGTATTAAAACTATAGCATGTAGGTACTGGGGATTAAGACTTGTATCTTTTTGAGAGACATAATTCAGCCCATTAACAAGTGTCTTCCTCCACCAATCTGGCTATAGTTTCTTCCTTTGTGTACTGGGATAAAATGCCTCCTTTGTAAGGTTGTCGTGGTCACTCAATAAGATAACATGTGTCATGTGCCTGGCACATAGTAGGTACTCAATAGATGCCAGCTCCCCTCTCCGACTCTTGGTCCTTGGAGCCAAGCTCAGTGACTTGAACATAGTAGGTATTCAATAAGTTTGTCAGGTGACTGATTTTCCAGATCAGAGGGGTTAATGTCCAATGGACTTGGCACAGAGGGCTTGAAGAAGGCCTGGCTATGCTTTTTTAGTATCTCATCTCAAAGCAAGACTAACAGTTTCTTTTGGAAATTAAAAATAATAATAATAATAATAAACTTCGAGTAAGGACTAAAAACAGAATAGTAGAAAACTAAATCAGCAGTGTATAAGAAAGGAGAGCTGGGGACCAGCAGATGGTGTAATGGTTATGTTGCTGGACTCCCACATGGTTGACTGTGGTTCGAGTTCTGGACCCAGAGGCTTGAAACTTATGCCAGGCACATGCGCATGTGTGCCCCAAATCCTAAGATGAACATAGAGGAGAAGGGATTGTGGAGTGGCCATCCCCACTGTGGGGTGATTTCTTGCTTTCTGTCTCTCTGTCTCTGTCTGTCTCTCCAACGAGAACATAATCCCTATAGCAAAAATCTTCCTTAAAATAAAAGAGAGAACTGTTGAGAAATTTGCTTAACAATTATAACAGTTATGATTCTTATAGAGAATACATTTTTTTTAAAATTGGAAAGAAATTGTCTACCCATTTAGCCTCCTGAATAGAATGAGAACAATGATTCATTCATATTTTTCATAAAAAATAATTAAAATGGGAATGCAATTGCTGATTTCTTCACCTTGCCATGCTCTTATGTATAGGTCCTTATTGTCCCTGTTTGGCTGTCACAGTTAGAGGCACTTCTACATGAGCTCCCATGTACTCTTTTGTAATGCTCAGGGATGTAAAGTCAACTACTGCTGAGATACTGCTGTGAAAGAACAAAACTACTTAGTTCTTGATGGCAAGATTTTGACGATCTAGTAGAGGTCACTTAGGGACAAGGATGTTCATATAAGGTGTTCCTAAAAACAGCCATACTAAATTCTATACACTTGTTTTGGGCTTGATAATCATGGTTAAATTTTTGAAACTGAAAGTGATAAGCTGACCTTGTACAACAAATGTGTTTACTGGAAATACAACAGCGTTAAAAAATCCCATGGTTCAGAATGCGAAAGGGTGGCATTGTAATCTTGACCCTGGATTGTTGGTTTCTCTGCTAGCTCAGAGTTAAATATCCTGCATAGCAATCTTGAACTCTGGTATTCTGGAGGTGTTGCCAAATTGGATTATTTGGATTTCTCAAAGTAAGCATCACTCAGTCCTGTGGGCTCTGGCCAAGTGGCTTTGCAGGGCTGTTGGCAGACTGAGTCTTTGCTGCAGCAGAGGCCATGACAATATTCAATTCTTTGTTCAATCACTAAACCTAACCCATCGGCTCATATGGGTTCATGCTGTTTCTTGTGGTGATAGTCAGCCAGGCAGCCTACTGCTAAAGAGGAGAACACTAAAATTAGATTTTCATGTTGGTTTAATTGACTATCACAAGCATAGCAACACATATTAAGTATTGAGTACTGCAAAAAAGTTTATGTAAGAAAAATGACATATACTGGACTGTCTTTCACAGTCTTCTTGAAAGGTTACATATCTGTTCAAATGGTGTTCCTACATTTACACTCCATGTTTTCTTTCCTTCTTTCTTTTTTTCTTTTTTTTTGGAATTGCTACTTGGGCCAATTAGTGATCCATACAAGGATGTCACTTTATAAATGTCTTGATTACTCATATTACTGATTATAGAGCTTAGAAATAGACATTGACCTCAAAATGTAAAGATTTCTTGTCACCAGAGACATGTAAAAGATGATGCCTTGAGCTTTCACAGCCATTCTCAAAGAGGAGTTCTGAAAGTTAACTTTCACCAATGTCACTGTGATGATCATATAGCCTCCAAGAATTTGACTTCTGAAGGAGAAAAAACTCATCAGACGTAAGTTATGGCATATTTACCAGAAACTAATTATACTATTTTATAGTACATTAAATAAGTCAGGTATAGGTAGTAAGAGGAGTTATGTTACTTAGCTACTAAAAATGCTATATATTTGCCATTATAAAATGCATTCTTCAATAAAAGGTGACACAGCATTTCAAGTGAAAGTTGGATCTAAGAATAGCTCTAATACCAAGTTCAGAAAAGTCACCCTAGGGGGAAAATGCTCCACAGTTTGTATTTAAATAGCTGTCTTAAATATATTCCTGTTACTCATTGCATATGACCTTACATATAATTCATGTTTATTTATAATTACTTGAGTGAGAAGGACTATTAAATTTTTGGAATTATAAATCATTAACTCTCTAATGTCACATCATAAAAGTTAATTTCTGAGTATAGATAAAATACAAAGGCCTGTCGTAGCTTGTTTGGTGGTGGAAAATTTTAGTGAGTGGGTCACAGATCTGTCCATTGGAGAACAAATTCAATCCTTCTTTCTCTCCCACTCAGTCATATCGAATTATCCTCTTTGATCTCCAGATGACCAGCATTGCCCACAGCTGCTGATCAAGGCATCCTCCTCTCTGTGTTTGACTGCTGTTGGCTTTCTGATCCAGTGTCGTGTCCTGTGGAGTCCAGGCCTATATAATACCAGGCGAACATGCAGGCTGGTACTCTCCTGTCTGTCTCTAGGCTTAACTCTCTTGGGTCTCAGCAGAGAAGAAAAAAAAGAGAAAGGAAATTCAATTTCTCATATTCTTCACAACCTATGAAACAAGACTTTTCCTCCCTACCTTTCAGTGCAGCTAAGGGATATAAACCATGCTCTGTAAAGATACTGGATTGTTGGGAAAGTCATGACATTTTTAAAAATGTTTTTCTAGGTAAAAATGCATCATGACTTTTCTTTTTCGTTTCTTTTTTTTTTTTTATGGGAGAGGTTTTTTCGCTATAGGGCGTGTGCACTCGTCAGACAGACAGAGAGGGACATAGAGACAGAAAGCGAGAAATCACCCCCCCAGGGGGGGATGGTCACGCCGCAATCCCTCCTCCTCCATTCTCCTCTCGGGATCTTGGGCACGCATGCACACGTGCCCGGCATGAGTTTTAAGCCACCGGGTCTGGGACGCAAACCGTGGTGGACTACGTGGGAGTCCAGCAACATAGCCATTACGCTAACTGCTGGTTCCCCATCATGACTTTTCTGACAGCCCAATAGATGCTTCCTGTGTCTCCTATAACAGAAATACCATCGTCTGATAGAGTGGGTGACTTAATAAACAACAAACATTTATTTCTTACAATTCTGGAGGCTGGGAAGTCCAAGATCAAGGTGCCTTCCTGCTATACTTCTTGGTTTGTAGATGGCTGTCTTGTTGTATCTTCACATGGCAGGGAATGGAGAGGAAGTGAGCTCTCTTTTCGTCTTTATTTATTTAGAGGTTTTTGCCTTAGGAAGCATGTACTCACTGGAGAGAGAGACAGAGATAGTGAGAGAGAAAATGAGAAATCACCCCCGGGGGACAGGTGGTCACATTGCAATCCCTTCTCCTCCTGGGGCCTTGGACATGTACACCCATGCGCCTGGCGTGTTTTTTTTTTTTTTGGG